TTTTCCACTCATCGCCATCGTATTCCATCGGCTGTTGTTTACCGACCACAGTTTCCCAATGGATTCGTCGCTCGACGCGGCCGTCGCTAGGCGCTGCGGAAGCCTGTCCGAGCCCTTCGCGTACTTGTTACTATCGGTTTCGCGTTCTTCCGTCACCCGTTTACATATGGCCGGTATGTCGACATCGGTTCGCAGATCATCCGCGCTCCAATCGCTGCTAGTGCAATCGGTGGGCTCTTCTAACGCGCTATAATCTGCCGGGATATTTATATCCAAAATTTCGGAATACGATTTTAGCACTGAGTTCATGGTTTAGCTCTACGATTTATGAAATAAAATTTAATTTAAAAAATTCGAGTCGCGGTATAGTCGAACCGTTAACATAAATTTTGCACTCGAAATTACAACAACTAAATAGTATATTGAATATTTACTCGATCAGGTACCCCGACGGTAACAGTCGTTATAGGTTTCAACATCGATTTTAATTTTTAAATTACTGTATTATTTTAAATGGCCAGCATAAATGGCATACTTGAATTTTAAATCGTAAGCCGCGTGTTACACAGTAATTATAATGAACATTTGGATAACGTAAAATATTGAGCTTCTGTTGTCTTGCCCCTACTACATTCTGCATGTGGACCTGATTTGTTTATGCTAAACGCCGCGCAATGGTATCAAATTCAATTCAAATTCATGTTTTACAATTTACCAAACCATTTGGTATTTACCAACTTTAAATATTCACATATAAAAGTCGAAACAGTGCATCGAATACCGATGACTTAAGAGGGCGCAATAGTGAAAAAATATGTAATACACCCATAAAGATAACATTTGTCGACTAAGTGTCGACCGTGGCACTAAACGTTTCAAAAAATGTTTTTAATTTAAAAAAATATCTATTTTGTGATAATTGACCCATGAAAAAGCCAAGGGGGGCAGGTGTCCTTATTTGCCCATCCCTGCGGACGTTCTTGTATGTTTCTAATCTCTCCCTCCACGATAACTTAAACATTGAACCAGCTGTAAATTTAGTTAAAATCCACTATAAAAAATTCCACTTCAAATTATATTATCACCCAAATCCTTTAATCGTAAACCAGCACACTATCTCAATTCCAGACAATCCTCCTCACCGTATTAAAAGACGTTTGTGTCGTGACCTATTAGTTTAAAATCATCGTCTGTTCGCCTGATCGAACGTTTGGATATCTTAGCCTCCCTCGATCAAGCAACCCTACCCTCCCTACACACGAAAATAATTTCGTTTTATTATTTTCATTTTTTTAATGTCCAGTACGTGAGTAAAATCTTAAGATTTCTCTTCGCGATTAACGATAATCGTTTTTATTTTTAACGTCCACCAGTGGTTTTTCAGATTAAAATAATTTCTGGTTTATTTTTAACTAGGGATTTGTGTGGTATGTAAATATTTCGTTTTTTAGTAGAAATTTTAATATGATAACTTTATAAATCTATTAAAAAATAGCGACAAAGGAAAAGCATTCATGCTGCACTAACGGGAAATATTTCTCTATATTTTTCATTTTTTTATTTTTTATGAATTAAGATCCACTAATAAAAAATGTCCTGCGAGTGTTATTGTTAATAAATTAAACAAAATAATAAAAGTAACCAACTCTCATAATCATAAGGGATTATAATAATCAACGATAGTAAGCAAACGAGTTCTGATACTAGGGATTTTCGTCACAAGAAGCAAAAATATATGTGCGCAATCGAGTTGTGCATTTTTGCGCAGAGTAGCCCTTTCAAAGTCGTCTCGAGGTTTATTATAAATATTTACATATTGGTATCAATAGAATGATGTAAAAATATTTCTTATTACATATTCATAGAAAATAATGTTGTTATTAGATTTGTAATTTATAGAACTGAAAATGACACAGTGATTAAATTATAAAATCAATTATCCGTTTTAGTATACTGTACAATTCTTAAATTGTTTTTTCATGTTTAAACGTAAACGTTTTGATAAAAATTACTTTTGCAAACTAATATTTTGTTTTTCCCCGAGTTGACGTCGACTACCAGAGACGCTTATAGTAAATGAAAATTATTAGAAAAAAAAATAATAATAATAAACTCGAATAAAAAGTCTATAAATCGAAAAACAGCCACCCCATGGTTTTATTATATTACAATCGATATATATCGTGGCATGATTTATTCTACATAAAAATAAATTAAATCAAATAAAAATAAAAAACATATTATAAATCATCTAGCTATATATATATATATATATATATAGCTGTATAAGTCAGTATATTTTTATTTAAAAAATTGTGACATAGTTCATGGGTTTGTTTTGACGAGGGAGTTCATCGCGGGACGTGTCTTTTATCGTACATTGATTGTAGGTACTATTTACAATACGCAGTATATTCCGTAACATTATAATATGTGTAAACGTGTGTGCACGATTGTGCCGTATATGGTTTTCTTAATGAGTTATACTCGAAGAACGCGTATACATATGTGCTCGGAGAGACAAATTGTACCGACAGTCGTACACAATCATATTACTGTATCGATTACACGGGTAGTTAACATTTTATAACTGTATTATCGGTACATCCGATTGTAATTCGTTTTTTTTTCCTTACATAAAACAACACGCATATTACATAATATAGGTATATTCATTTCGTGCGTTTGCGTGAACGTGCGCGCGTGTGTGCATCTATTTGTATGCGTATTTGTGTTTCTAGACATACCTATTCCACGACGGGAGCATTAAACCGTAGAAAAACAAAACATTTAAATACAATGCTTACACGTTATATTATACTCGTAATATATATATATATATATACAGTACACGTAGGTACACGCACTTGGCTATAAATTTGCCATTTACATAGAGGGCGATCGATTTATTCCCCGCAGTAGCCACCATGAATTATGATCACTTGAATTTAGAGAATCGTAACTATCGCATGACCCTCGGGTATCACGGCATCTCCGAAGGAATTATTACTCGTTTCTGATACGGTTTTGAAGGCTTTGCTCTTCACAGACTTCGTATTGTTTTTCAGAATTTGCATGTTCGGTACACTATAAACATAGTGTCTGTAGAAAACGTTTCGAAGCTATTTGACTTGCTACGTAATACTTGTATTAGAGCAAATACTATAAGTTATAACAGTGGCGTAATTGGGAAAAAACCTAGGGGGGCAATATAATATATTTATTATTACCAAAACCCTGAAACCCTTCCCCCTCACCAGTTAAAACATATTTTTATTTTATGTATTTTATACACTATATCTAATTGTTTGATTTTACATTAGTCTTTTAACTCATTTTATGGTTTAAATAAACATAAATTGTAGGTAGCATGTACTAGGTACCAATATTGTTAAATAATATCCATAAGAATTCATTAATAAAAGGTGCTATTTGTACAGTTGGATTATTTGGGAGGGGGGGGCAAAATCATACCTTTATCTCTCAAAAAATGGTCAGATGGAGCACTTACCCCACCTTGCCTCCCCATAATTACGCCACTGAGTTATAATACATTACTACTACGTACATGTAACAATTTAAATTTCAATTAAAGACTGAACATATTGACTCTTGTAAATTTTACCGGAAACACTACTCATTTCTTTACTGGGCTTCGTCCGCATAACGACCAGGAGATATTCCATAATTTTCCGTATACTTTAAAAATTTCATATGTAATAACAGTAATTAAAGTACTTCAAAATTATTTACCCATTATCAAAATTCCGAATTGTATCAAAAGCTTTATTGTCAAATATGAAGTTCTGATTCACTTTTATTTTGGCGTGTACATGTATATATTGTAAACGTGGAAAATCATAGCTTAACAAATATTTTACAGTAACTAATGTCTATTTAAAATACTGGTTTTAAATGTCGGTTGATTATTTTATTAATTATATTTATTTGTGTAAATCTGAAAACGATCAATCATTGCGTTCAAAAACGCATTTAAAACAAAAGTCAATTTACACGAATAAATCGTGTAGGTATTAATTCCATTATCTCTAAATAATAAAGTAAAACAAATTATCTCTATATCATTGTAAATTCCCGGTGAATGTTTATTGCATCATCCTTAAACTTTTTAACCATTATAATATCGGGTGATTGTAAATTCCACCGATTTACATGTAGTCGATTTCAGGGATGGATTTATAACATGAAAATTCCATCGATACTTTTTTTTACTTGAAAAAAAAAATGTAAATTCCACCGGTACTAATTTTTGACCTGGAAACACATAACTATTATTTCGAACACGCCGCAAACGGTTTTTAACGAGTACGCTTCGCACTGCGGTGTTTATTAAGCCGTTTGTCAAATTTTATTACGGTTCCGTAAACCATAGTATTTAACTCCTTACATCATGACGTCGTACTCGTACACATACACGCATTACGAGTAACGTCCCGTTTAAGTGCGTTCGGTTATTTTCTCCGATAAAACACGCGACGTCCGCCTATCCGCGTAAACAAGTGCGTACGTCTCGCGGTTTAATATTTATTATGATTGTAATATTTACAAGTCGCGCACATCGCCTACGTCGGCGATCTTCAACCGGGGAGTCGCGACCGCCTTGGGGGTCTCCAACAACTTTTTTAGGGTCACATCATGTAGAAAAAAAATTATTTCAAATCAACAACAGCAAAAGAGTCATTAAATTAACAAAATATTAAAATTTACATAATTTTCATTTTTTTTTTTCCATTAGTTAACGCCAATCGGCTTTTATAATATACTTTTTTTTGTAAAATATATACACAAATAAATACAATAATAACAGTTTGTAAAATTTTTCAATGCTTACAATACAAAAGGATCGTTAGACATATTGGTAACATTATAGGGAGTCGTGAACTCAAAAAGTTTGAGAACCGCTGGTCTACGTTACTACAGGCTTCTATATGCGTCCGGCTAGTACGCTAATCATCGTCTATCTCATTATTGTTTTTCAGTTTCACTTGGCGGCACCGCATCGTTTTTCCTTGGTTGCAGCGTCCTGTCCTTCGTCGAGATAGGATACTACGTCACGTTGAGGCTGTACTGGTTCGTCAACCGGAAGGCCGAGGGTTGACCACCCGTGTTCCCAATGAAAATACGTTTACTTATCCGGCAGCGAACCTGATTTCTATGTTACTCGATTGCATCCATAGGCGCACACTCGAAAAAAAAAGCTTATTCTCTTTCGGCGTTCTATTATACTTCCGGTACTAAAGCGTACGAACGACTGTTTTGTCGGTTTTTGAAAAACAAACCTACACATTTAACCTTACACCAAAATGCTATTAGAAAATACGTTTTTTTTCACCAGATTAAGTAGGTAAATAAATTAAATATCTATAATATAGATATTATATCTATATATTATGTAGATATAAGTTATTTGCTGTTCGTGCACGGTTAGAAACTAGGAACTTTTTGTTTTTTTATTACAGCGTGTAATTGTATAAATTGAGAAGTTTTAAATCACTTGTGTATAATAATTCATGCTTATTTCAGTTTTGTACTAGCCCAAGATAATTAGATATTAGCACAATATAAACAATGTTGTAGATGTATTGTAATAAATTTATATTTATTTCAAAAAATGAATAACAAAAAAAGTTTTTCTTAATAACATGTTTCTTCACAATGAATAACGGGTCATTGTGTGTCGAAAAAAAAAACTTGCGTCACGGAAAACTCGATTAAATCCGATGAGGCTTTACATACCATGGCATATACGTAGACCAAAACGCAATAACAGAATACGGTGTCGAGTCGGCAATCTTCTTCTTCGCTAAAGAAAAGGAAGAATTGCTCGTACTCATCAACCGCCGAAGAATTCTCGTAGTCCCTGCAGTCCTTAATGTCATTATGATCTACGTCTAATTTTAAACATTTGACCGGGTGACATTGGTCGGAACATGACGGCGAACGACTACGCTTGCGTGTCGATCTGACAACAACGTTTGCGGCGGAAGTCGAAATATCACAATATTCCCGATCCTCGTTTTGATATGCGATTATTCTGTACTTCACCGGATGGCACGAGGAGGAACTAGATGACGAACGACTGCGCTTGAGTCTACAAGTCGAATTCTCACCATCGGAGCTCGAAATCCGTGATGCTCGGTCGACCAATCCGTTTATGCGGGACCCATCCACGATGAAATATTTGGTCGGTCTGTGCGAAGAAGATGATCGCGACCGATGACGACTACGTTTCGATGCGCCACCGGTAGGATTTATGAAGCTTCTAAAAACTGATGACCCCGAACGTCTGACCGCCACTGGACTTTCCGTTTTCGAGTACTTGAAAGGCCGGTCTGGAGAACAAGACTGCGATCGACTGCGTTTCTGAGTGGACTTACGCGTCGATCTTGCATCAAAAATGTCCCAGTGTTTCCGATCCTCGTTGCGATACTCGACTATACTATATTTCACCGAACGATACTGGGAGGAACTAGATGGTGAACGCCTACGCTTAAGTGTACAGGTCGAATTCTTACGGTCGGAGTTGTTAATAGACGAAATCCACGATGCTCGGTCGACCAATCCGTTTATGGGGAACTCTTCTACAATGAAATATTTGGCCGATCGGTGCGAAGAAGATGATCGCGAACGACTACGTTTTAACGCGCCGGTAGGGTTTACATGTTTAATACATGTAGAAATCCAAGACCGCCAACGTCCGACCGCCAAACTTTCCGTTCTGGGATATTTGAATGGACGACTCGGAGAACTCGACTGAAATCGACCACGCTTCTGGGGTGATGTACGGGTTAAACTTGCATCACAATAACTCTCGGCAAAAGTCTTCATATTCCGGCGTTCGACTTCCCGGTCCTCGCAGTGATATTCAACTACTTTATATTTGTTCGGTCGACACGGGGAGGAGCAGGACGGCGAAGAACTACGTTTTCCCATCGTTTGTGCTGATATTTACTTGAAAAAAAATATACTTTATACACATATACGTACATTTACCACTCCATTGTTTATGTATGTAGTTATTTATTCATTAACATTGTTAAGGTCTATAGTAGGCAGTATAATAATTAAAATACAATTACATATTATATGCATTAAGAGGTACATACCAATACTGTAAGGTGTTGAATGTCAATCGTACAACGCCGACACCGTCTTGAAACGAAAATGAAATTGAATACAAATGATTACAATAATGAAAGATGTATAATATTTTAATAGGAGCAAGAAAAAACGTTGTTTAAATATGTTTAGATAAACTTCGAATGCCAAAAGTGGAATAACGATAAATTAAATACGGTATTTCGTTGTTAGGGAACTGCATATGCACAACGACGTATATAAAGTTACAAACGTAAATCAATAACAAGAAACAAGTTTTTAAATGTGGCCAACAATCAACAAACGTAAATTATTACAAATTTAAATGATGTAGGTTTCGTTTTCATAGATATTGACTGATATCAAAAAGAATAAGGTTCTTATTCCTTTTTGTGGGGGACGAATCAAAACGTTTCATAGATCGAAACATTATACATTTATGTTGCTTTTATACAGGTTCCTAAATCATGTTTAGTGCTAGAGTAAGAAATAATATTCTTCTGAAAATTTATTTCCCGCTTACTAAAAATTTCAATCAGTGAAATAATCTGAAGTTGACATAGTTATTGAGTAATCTACAATCACAATTATGCAGGTAAGTATGTAATACGTACACAGCGACGAATGTTATATGTATAAATATTTTAATACAACGGTGAGCTACATATAAAAAATAAAAACATTTAACTGTATATACGTATTATGTGAATATTCAGATCGAAACATTAGTTAATTACAGACTCGTTTAAATAATTTCATGTAATTAAATATATTCGTAGTAGTACGACATTTTTACATAAAAAATGGTTTAGCACGTCGCGATATCTTAGGACTCAAGCGCATTGTCGAATATCCGAATAATCACTAAGCCCCCTCAAAAATGTTTGCCAAATTTTTAGAAACATTTTTTTCAAATACATCGTACATTACAAATATTGAGAACATTTTCCTTGTAATATTATATACAACAGCGATTTATACCAAATGTATTCAAATTGCTACAAGTAGCACTCACTTTGCCAGTTAGCTCTGCAATGTGTGAGCGTAATTTTTCAGCTATGCGTAGAATTAAGACATGGGTGAGAACTTCTATGCTCCAAGATCGATTTACTAATCTATCTATTCTTCACATTGAAAAACACCTGACTGAAGATACTTTAAATGAATTCTCAAAATCCTCCAGAATGCCGGTTTTAAAATAAAATATCCATTACTGCTATTACTTAATGTTAATTGTCTTTTATGCATTGTATAATTTTGCAGTATCAATAAAAAAATAGATTTTTTTGGATAAAATAAAATTTTAATGCAATGTTTATAATTGGTAAATAATCGAACTCTAAGGGGGGGGATGCCTCCACTTTTTAGATTTATGTAAATAATTTTTGCCCTCCCCCCCCAACATTTTCAATTTGTCCGCTTATGCTCAAACGTTCTCGTAATTAACACGGTTGTCGTGAGTCATTTCGTAACGATATTGACCGTTGGACGTCGACACATTCCCACGTCCTGGCTGCACTGTGCGCTTCAAGTGGACCCGATCGTCTCGCTAGCGCGTTCCAGTGGCAGACAACAATCGTCTCCTTTATTATCACTGTTTCGCTGTGCGTTTTGCTCCTTTCCGTCACTCTTACGCTACGTGTTGACATTTCTTTATCGATCCGAACGCCACTTGTTCGACGACTCCTCTCCGTTCGTTCCAGTAACGTTTGCCGATCGTTTCTGTTCCCACTCGTAACGTTTTCCTACCCGACACCATGGCAACATGTTTGAAACGGTCAGAGGACAAGATCACAGGAGACGACAAGACGGAGGATGAAGAGGAGATAGGTAAACGTTGTATAATTGCAGTGGTAACGGTAACCATGTCTGGGTAACAGTAATAATTTGTTATCGTTGTGCCGTGTAGATGAATCGTCGGATAGTATGCACGGGCCATCGGTTGAAGCAGTCTCGTTGACCAACAATGACCCCGAGGGGATTACAACGGTCGAAATCAAAAAGAAATCTACAGCAAAAAAGTCCAAGAAAAAGGGTCAGTATCTAATAGAACGATAAGAGTAGTTTGTTCTGTATGTGATATGATATATATTATATAACTGCTTACTATTTTTGTCCATTGTTTGTTTACTTTGTTTCGATACAAAATTACTGTTCAAAGGAGTCAATTACAGTATGTAGAACGTTTACCCATATCAACATAAACTTGGTAAAGTAAAAGGCTATCAGTGTATTTACTATAGATTTATTTATTTTCTTAATATGGACACAATCTTTATTCTAGTGCAAAGACAGCTTTTAATATTACGATTTATGTTTGCTATAGCACGATAATTTCTGATTGTACTATTTGTTAAAATCCTTTATAAAATATATTTTAACTCTTTATTGGTACCTATATGACAGTTTATGTTCTACATTAGAAACAATGCAGTGTATCACATATTTGTCAAATTCAAGTTAACATCGTATATGTATTCCAATTTACTGAATGTTATTTAATTATAGATGTTAAAACAGACGAGCCACAAAATGAAACTTTAGATTGTCCTGTGTGTTTGGGACCTGCAGTGTTCCCAGTACGTATCCCATGTGGTCATATTTTCTGTTTTTTGTGCGTGAAAGGAGCAGCTCGCCAAGCTAACAGATGTCCGATGTGTCGTCAGCATATACCTGTTGACTTTGATAAGAATCCTAATGTACTTGAACGCCAAGAAGTAGAAATATTTGATGATGGTTACCAGTGGTTCTACGAAGGTAAAAATGGTATGTATTTGATTATATCATAATTAATTGCAATTATATTTTGATGTTTATGTTATAACTCAAACATTGTAGGCTGGTGGCAGTACGAAAAAAGTACTTCTGAAGAAATTGAACAAAATTTTAAACTTGAAAATAAAAAATTTGATTTACTTATATGTGGGACTATGTATACAATTGATCTCGATCGCAATGTACAGTACAACAGAGAAAATCCTACCAGAAGGAGGAAAGTCAAACGAGAAAAGGCCAATAACATTGCTGTTAAAGGAGTAGCTGGTGTTCATTAACTAACTGTATATACATATTTTTGAAAATCTTTTTTTTGCTATGAATATCATATCATTTATATTTTCTTTGCATTTGTTGTATATGGCATTTACTTAAAATTTAAATTATAATAATTTTGTCTACATAATTTTTCACAAATAATTTTACTATACACTTTATTCTCATTGTCATTAAAGAACCTAATATCAGCTATCAAAATAACTTTTATTACAAAATAATTCTTGTGGTAGAATTTTGATCTCATGAATTAAAGAAACAAAGATTGAAAATTAAATGTACGCATATTTTGTGTAAACAAACTAATATGTCGACATGCTTTGTAGAAATAAAATTATATATTTTAGTATTATAACTTCACATTTTAATTTTTTTTAGAGATTATAAACATTAAAATAGTTACACATATGTCAGTTATATTATATATTATAACTAATTTTTTAACATCTGATTGTGACATTCTCCTTTGACATGTTACTTTTTTAAACTGATAACAAAAAATTGTTTATTGATTTATAAGGTTATTAAAAACATAAGACTTTTTTATGATATTTGATTAATGAAGAATTTATATTTAAAATAATATTAATTTTATTGTTTATTTAATTGAAAAAATTAAAGAGGACTATTTGTATTTAGTTTATAACTATGTTTATACATACTTTTTTTCAATGAAAATATTTTTTTATAGTGTACAACAGATTTGTATTATTGAATTGAAGCATGTAGATTTTTCTATAGATGTTATTTATTTGAAAATTCTTAAAATATTTTTTTTTTTTAATTAAAAAATTACATTAAATTATACTTATTTCTTTCTACTAAAATTATACTAGTGTTACTATTGTAATTAATTATTATTATGCACTATATATTTTCTTAACTAATAGTTATAAAAAATTTAATATTTTTATGGTATCCAGGGATCGCCCTGGAAGTCCTATTTATTATATACATATATATTATCTTTATCGATTTGTTGTTAATTCCATTACTCTTTTTATGATCTTAATGAATTGTTACAAATATTATATTATACAATGCTGTTATATTTTAATGTACTTAATAAATATAAAAATGTTGAGACTTGAAACTGTACATGATTTTTATAAGATTATTTTACAATGGTTTAAGTATTGATTCCACATTGTTTTCGTTGTTGATTTCAGTGCTTTTGTACTGTATTTTTGCCTTCTCATTCCATGGTTGCACCTTTCCCGAACCATATTTTAAATACACCAAATTAGTCCCTATTAGTATGATAGCTGACAGCCAAAAAACATTTCGCCATTCTTCCATTGTACTCTAAAATTTTATAGAAAAGTTTTTTATTCACAATCTATTTGATTTTGATGGGCCGATAGTCAAACATACATTTGGAGCCATTAATCCGACGACGTACGGAGCGATGACACCAGACACACATCCAATTGAACCGACGATAGCCATCAATGTTCCGGCAAAGTTAGGACTCAAATCTAAGGCGTTGACTTTCAGACTCGGAACAAAAGTACCCATGAGTCCCATACCGGCCGTAAAACTGATAATCGCTAGTTTTCTGTCGCATTCGGAATAAGAAGCTGCAACAATTCCTAACGCTGGTCCTACGCCAGCTAAACACCAAGAGTAAACAGTTTTTTTTTTTTTTTTTTAATTCGTCGAGATAATTTCTTTCTTTTACGGCACGCTGTTTATATACCTATAGTTACAAACGTTTTACGGATACACGTGACTGAAAATATCGTAGATCTTGCCATCGAGTCAACAATGAAACCGGAAATCATCGCTACCAACCACATCACTATGTACGGCAATCCAGACCATATTCCGTTCTGCGAAAAATTGTACAAAAAATATTAACACGTTACGTTTTCCACCACGCGTTGATATCATAATGTTACGTGCCTCGACCACCGAGAATTTCAAAACGGACTTCATGTATTTGGGCAAATCGGTAATGATGGTGAACAAACCCCAGTCGTGCCCGATCTGCACGATGATCAGTCCCCATACCGGTCCCGATGTGAACATTTCCCTCCACGGTATCGACAGTTTGCCCTGGAACGGTGTGAACGGTTACGGACGGCACCCGTTGACTTTCGCCATCGTTATGGTTCGCAATACTTACGGCGTCCGGATCGACCGTTTGTATCACGCGGCTCAGGAACGATTTCTCCTTGCCGCTGATGAACGGATGCCTGCTCGGATGGTTATAGATCAACACGAACCAAAACAAAAGCCAGAATAAACCGAACACGCCGAACGCGTAAAACACGCTCGCCCAACTGCTGGTCCACCGCATGAGAAAACCACCGAACTGCATGGAAACGACGTTGCCCACCTGCGCCCCTGCAAAAGGAACGTTAAACTCTGGATGTGCCCCGGGCGCACAACAGCAACGCCTAGTGACCAAGAGACGTGTAAGGATGTTGCGTACCTACCGGCAAACACGAGCGATCCCAGTCGACCACGTTCCTCCAAAGGTACCCACGAAGCGAGCAGCCGGCTCATCGCAGGGTACAACGGGCCCTTAACGAACACACATATCTTTATTATTATTATTATTATTATTATTATTACTGTTAAACGGTTAACGGTGTTTCTCATCCGTCAACACATCGAAAAGATAAAAATACATTTCTAAAACTGTGCCATAAGATGCATTTCCATCAATGTTACAGTTAACCGTACAAGGTGTACTTTTTTTTCGACGTTTTAGTTTCCGCATAACAAGAATAAACAACGCATTACGTTTAGAACGAGTGGAAAATTTACAGGAAAACACAATCAACAGAAGCTTCAAGGTAAACTATCGAATATATACCACACCTATAACACGTATGTTTAGTTGCCTATCCCAAAGTTTTTGCAGACTTCACCATTCGGTCCTACACTACTGATTTTTTTATTTAATAAGATTAAAGTACGGTCATAAAATATACTTAATAAAAATGATTACGTTTACTTAAAAATTCATATCAATATCAAACTCGTGTTAATCTTCATAACCTTAATAAATTTGGATATTAATTACGATAAATCGAAATATTAAAATATAAATCATTACAAACAATGACCTATTCTTAATTTTCATTGACAATGTACAAAGAGAAAAAATAATAGTAATAAATACCAATCTATTCATTTTTAATTTTTCACTAATTAATGATCTAAAGAACTGATAAATAATTTATACATCAATGAATTAAATGCATACATTTAATGTACTATGTACATATGTAGCATAGCACAACTACCAGTAGTAGTAGTAGTAATTATAAGTTTTTTTTCTTAAACATTAATCATAGGTATGATATAATAATAGGTATGATATAAATAGTTAGCTGATTATTTCGTACAAAGAATGTAAGTTATAATACTTTTGAAAACATATATTTTGAATTTTATAGTAATAATTTTAAATATAATTGTATAATACTTTTAAAAACAATGTCATAATTTTTTTTTTTCTAAACAATTTTTATTCAAAATCGTATGGTTTATTGATTTGTAAAAAAATAATTTTACATATTTCTTGCATATTTATAACATGAAAATGAATATTTCGTAGATTTTTATTGCGTATAAATCCAAGCCTTGGTTATAACTAATATTTATACATTTAATAAGCGGCAGGTAAAATCACTCGAAAATATTATGGTTAAACTAAGAATCAATTATTTAAACCAATGATAATATTGTTTTGTTTATAGTTCGTAATAAATATAATACCTATTAATATATGCATATATGCATAGCACATTTGTTTACAATGAAACGGATTACAGTGTTGCATAAGATTATGTTTTTTTCCCTATCGGTAAACACATTCATCAGTAATAAACGTTTTCCCGTTCCTGTAAAAACGATTACTCAGATAAAACAATGAAAGGCTGAGGAGTTCATCAGCTCAAACACACACCTCACACATATACTTTACGATGCACATTTGCTGTTCTTTTATTAAACTATCTATAGCATACATCTTTATATCATACTCTTACAATTTTAAGTACCTACTTATTTTATTTCGTATAACAAATTAATTAATCGGTCTTGTAATTGAACGAAAAAAAAATATATTCCTGGAATTATTATCAATTTAATAGTTAAAATTATAACTCCTCTTACCAACGAATTTTTTTAAAAACTTCGACTGTTATTGTTAATACACTACGACGTACTTGAGCCAGTCCGATGATCAACCGCAGGACAATCAGCGCCGTTGGTCCGTAATTCCTGGCCACAAATGGCGTTAATATCGTGCCGATGCTACTGCACAGCATTCCCAGGCCCAACGTGGCTTTGCCTCCGTAATTGTCCGCCAACATGCCGCCCGGCAACTGCGTGATCACATATCCCCAAAAGAACGAGCTCAGCACCAATCCCTGGACCTCTTCGTCCCAGTCGAATTCCAATTTCTGCAACGAAACGCGTCCTATTAGTTAACCGTCATCAACACTACAGGTTCACATAATTTTTTGTAATACAATACAATAATACAATACATGTAGTGTACATGTAAATATAATATGTATCTCGATTAAATATCAATCGTCTTTTACTTCTGATAAATTATTTCAAAATATTTGTATAAATGATGCACTTTTACGGTGCATAGATGGTACTTGACGAACGACTCGGCTTATTCTAGTATGCTTAAAGCTCCATACAATTATTATTGTATTTGTCGATGCCATATTCAACTTCCCCACCCCGAAAACCAAGTTCGACGGGGACAAACAGTATTTTTATAGAGCATTATGAAAGTAAATCAAATGATTCCATCCCTAAAATATTTGGTCATATTTTAAATCGAGCTGTATTTTTATTTTACTTTTTCTTCATTAACACTTTTCGGGTGCTTAAAATTATATAAATTATATAAAATTATATCTTCTTATGTACATATGAAATATATTACACACTGTATGATATTTTATAACTTGAAAATGTAATACAAATGATACTTTGAGTAAAAAACTATAGTTATTACTTTTTATTAAGTCGGCAACCATATAGTGATGAGTACCAGGCACGTACACAAGGGGGGGTTTTGGAATTTAACCCCCCCCCCCCCATAAAAAACTATAAAATATGTTTATATATAGTAAAAGTGGTATATAAATTATATAATTATGAAAATGTACAACATAAAACCTCTCCTAAAATATTTTTTTGTGTACGCGCCTGATGAGTACCATATGGCTATGATATAAACATATAGACTAAAAATATAAATAAAAACAAATAAATGCTTAGCTTGGACTATGATTATATTTTTATTGTATGACTAGTTACGAATTAAATATTCATCATCAGATATATACAATGTCAATAAAATCTCAAATCTTAACTGTATCGTGATAAGTATCTTAGAAAATCAATTTAGAGATTATAAAAATATTGTATGTTATAATAAACGGTCAAACTGAGGTTAAACTCATTAAAATATAGGTTTAAACACACAAAAAAAAAATAACGCGATAAACCTATAATACGAAATTCAATAATATTTTTACTATCGTTTGATATCTGACAAGTTTATTACATATCAAAAGTCTATGAATAATAGATCTTACACGAACTCACCATAAGACAGTATAACAGTATGCAATATTTTTTTGTTATATATGTAGTACGTTCGATTAATATGACTAAAATAATTAATTCTTTATTATAATTAGGAACATCAGAATATAAATAAAACAGCAATCTCAGATTTGTATACGTTATATATAAAACAATCAAACATTGTAGCAAATCAATTAAACTTTTTGGGTAATATACATTAGGTATCTATAAAATAATAGTTGTCAAAAAATTGTTTAAAATATGTATTATTATACCTAACAGTATATTCTAAATACTAGTTTTCTAATACTAGTATCATAAAAACCAAATTTATATATTTATATATTATATGAATTTAGTAAGACTAAAAATATTTAAATGAATATTCGTACATTAAATAAATAAAAATAAAAATGAATTATTACTTGTATTACAATAACGTTAGGCTATTAGAAAGTTTTAATAAAATTATTCAATGTTTTCTTCGAGGAGATTTGCAAAATGATTGTACAAGATTTCATGATTTACAGAAAAAAAAAATGCGACACAAGTAATATTAAACCATAATTTTATAATAGGTAGCGATAAAACATTTATAAAATAAAACCGGATAAGTACAACAGGTTTTAACGATTCGTAGTCGGGAATAAATATTTTAATTTTAAAATAACTGAGAATATTAATAAACTGGAAAATATATTCTTTACGGCGAATACGATTTTCAAATTAGTAGACGCAAAACTAGTTTAAAATATATATATAGTATTATTTGAGAACAATCAATTTAATAGCAGGATAGTGAATTGAAAATAAAAATTCTACAGATTGGTAAAAATTAATCTGGACAATTTATATAATATAGTAATTTTACACCGAGTGATATATTGCGGAATTTCATGTCTTGTCAATGATCATTTTTCGCTTCACAATATCAATTCACTTTAGAGTTCTTGTGAAAATTGATGAAACGCTGCAATATTAAGTTTCAACGGCATCCGCTATAAATATAATTCCGCATGTTTTTCAGTTTTTTTTTTTATTTCTATTGTTTTTAATTAATTATATTGTTGTACTATAAATTATATATATTAGGGTATTACTACTCAATGTATTGTGTAGTTATTATTTTTATAAGGTGAAATAACGATCCATGATGAACCAAACATTTTTTAGTATGGCATATTTTTCTATTTTACATAATTTATGTAAAAATATATTTTCCTATGAATATTATAAATATTTTATCATCAACAACATATTATTGTTTATTAATTCATTATTACAATACTATTTGTACCACAACATAGGTACCAGGTACCTACTTTTTTTTCTCGTGTCAGGCACACCATTTTTTAGATTCTGAACGGAGTGATGGAAACTATTGGTTTTACAATGATGTATGTTTTACAAAAATGTCATCACGTTTTGGGGCAGTAAAAATGCTTCGATTATCTTAAACAGCACTTTTCTGAAAAGAAAGTTAATGTAGATGGTACTTTGGCAAGTCAAAAATCAAACTTTTTCAATACTTTTTTAAAGCATCGAAAAAACCATAAAAAAATGACGAAAAAACAGAAATTTTTACGCAAAACCACGTTTTGGCAAACTACATTTTTTTTTTTAAAATGCTCTAGCTCAAAAACTAAAAACAGCATACACTTGAAATTTTCACTAAATATTTAAATTATTGTCTTCTATATATGGTAACGTTTTCGAAGTATTTTAAAATTGTTTGACTTATTTATAGACGATTTAAATTTTAAATTTTTCTAAGTTTTTTTTTTTTGAAATATCTATAAAAAAAATTCGACTTTCCAAAAACTCTTGAAAATTTAATATAAGGTTCATTATAAGTTATACTAACTGTAACTAAAAAAAATTGGAAATCGTTTCTCATAACTTTTTTTTATAAGCCCATAAAGTTCAAATTTTTATAAAATGTGTCAAAATCACGATAATTTGCAAGTTATTTTGTAGATAAAAATTCATAAAATTTAATTTGTTTATACTCAAGGTTCAAAATTATAACACTAGGTTATCCATAAGTTATTCTTCAAAAAACTATAAAAAAAATTTTATCGGACTTAAGAAAAAAATGTTATGACCGTTTGAAATTTAAATTTTTACAAAATTACATAAAATAACGATTTATCCTCAAACGATTTTAAATATTTGTTATAATTCAAAAAGTGTGTCGCAAAAACTCGAAACTTTTACTAGTTATTAAGTTTGGCATTTTCTTCAATCGTATTTTCTTCAAAATATTATACTGATTTTTAAGCAACTTATAGGCATTTGAAATATTCGATTTTTCTTAATAAAATAATAAGAGCCGTTTTGACTCATTTTTTGTTAATTAAATATAATTATATAGGATATTTATATAGAAATTATTACAGAACTTCGGTAAGACGGAAATCTCGGTACAACGGAACATTTTTTTGGTCATGTTTGAAATTACATACAATTAACTAACCCCGTCGAGACGGAAACCCCGTTAACACGGAAAAATATCATGGTCCCAAGCGATTTCGTCTTATCGAGGTTTTTCTGTATCAGATTATTATAATATAATAATAATAATAATAATAGTCATTATATATATAAATGTAATAATATTTTTTCTATATATATCTATATTTCTATACAAATCATCTTCGTTCAGAATCGTTATTCGTATACAATGATACCTATCATTGCATTCAAATTTAACAAATCCATTGTAATGACCTATCCTATAAACGAGGTTCACTCCACCCCCAACTGTACAGCAGAGCGAGTCCCATCCGGTTCTTTTTTATTTTTTTTTTTTTATAACTAACAAAGTATATAAATCAAAACTGCAAATATAAATATAAAAAGACAAACAAATAGATAAGTAAAATAAATAAACAGATTATAATAATTTAAAGTCACATAAATGGTAACTAACTGTCGTTTTCTGGTTCATATGGTTTCAACCCAAAAACTAGCTACGTCTTTGGTATTGTCTCTACTAAAATTTATATTGGTAAGACATTATGCATCATTTAAATTAATACTAAGTGATTGTAACTTCGACATGAGAGGAAAATAAAATTTAAGCCAAACCAATTTTGCTCCCATCGCGTTATTGCGATAGACATAACTTAAATGGACGTGGAGGAATATTTGTCCGTTAAAAAATTTGACAAGATCAATATCCAAGTAAGGATCATTACTCCGTAGACTCTTATAGATTTTACTTTCATAATTCTATTAAAAATAAAAAATAAATGATCATCATTTATTTGATGTTATATATTTGTAATAAAAGGTAAGTACGTGCTAGTTAAACGTTTTAAATTATCCATTTTGATAGATTAGTATTAGTAGTAGAGCTATTGAACAATTATAATAGCTACAGCTATTTCTACAATACTTTAAAACTCAATCGTATTTAAGGTTTTAATCTTCCTCGACGTGATATTCGATTAAGAAATTGCGATACCTATGGTATCAATGTATCGTCGATGCTCAATAAAGCAATTAAATAAATCAATTCTAAAAGCCATTCCAAACCATGTAGAAATCAATCAATTTCAATTATTTTGGAAAATATGAAGCCATCAACTAAAAAAAAAAAAAAAAAAAAAAATCAATTTGATTCGAGTATACTATTGGTTCATGTATGTTACAATAAATTCAAAAACGTGATTATCTGAACAACATAATATCGATATAATGCATGTAATTATTCTGATGGTCTTCGATTATCTTACTGAAACATCAACCATTCGCGTCAATCAGGATGACTAACTGGTAAATTGTTGTGTACGTCTAGATGAGATATTGAGTTATATTGTTTCCTATATGGAATAGAGTTACC